AAAAAAAATTTGTGGTCTTAAAGTCCTGAATTAGAAGAGAGCATGAAAAATAACTGATGTTGGTGTCTATCTCAAGATGTAAAAGATTTAATGGCAAATTGAAATCAGTATATGTACAAAGAAATAATAACAAAAATAATAGAAAACAATGAGAAAATATTTTTATAAATGAATTTGAAAATCTGGATTAAATGGTGAAACATTAAAAAAGAACATGAAAGATGAAATATGGGACTTAGAAAATCTAAATTATGTAATATACATTTTTGATACTAACTAAATAATTAAAACTTACCGACATAGAGAATTCCAGGTCTGGATGTCTTCAATGATCAAGTCTTCTAAACACCTAATATAATAATAACAATTATTCACATATTCTTTCAAAGAAGAGAAAAAAAATTCAATAAGATATCAAAACCTGCCCAAATTATTAGAAGCAAATTAACACTAATGTCAAAATAGTTATAAATTTTATCAAATTCCTACACAGAAAGAATAACACAACCAAATGGACTTTTTTCATGTTGGTTTAAAATTTGAAATTCATCACACCAACCCTTTAGAAAAAAGGAGGGGTATTACATGATTACATCTTTTTGAAGAAAAAGTATTTGATAAAGTCACCAATCCATGATAAACTTTAACAATCAAGGCACAGAAAGGAAAGAGTATTTGATAAAGTCAATTATGCCTCAATAAATAATAGTGTTATAAAACTGCATGTAAACTAATATATATATATAGTTGATGATGGCAAATTTTCTCCCTACTTGTCTCTATTAGCTGAAGGTGGGATGAATAGATGGCATTGTAGAATTAAGAAAAGAAGACATAAGTAAATGTCCATCTTTAATAGAGAATAGCCTTGAACAGGTAAGTTTAATACCATTGCCTGACATTAATGGTTCAATTACAGTTTATTGTTATTATACATTTAAATTAAACCCTGTTATTGTGTTTACATACTTTTTCCTCAACAACATTCAGCTTACAAAGTTCCCAGTGTTGAGTAATGGATAACAGTATGCAGGTTTCTCAAAAGATTACAAATAGATCTGCTATATAACCCAGTAATTCCATTCCAAGATACCTACCCAAAAAGTGTTAAAAAAAGTAAAATTTAAAAGGAAATCTGCATTCCCATGTTCACAGTAGCACTGTTGATAATAGCCAAGATATGGATAGAGCCTAAATATCCAAAATGCATGAGTGGATCAAGAAAGTGTGATGTATGCATACACATGTACACACACACACACACGAACATACACAATGGAATTCTAGTCAGCTGTAAAGAGAGATAAACTTGCTATTCTTGATAATATGGACGAAAATAGAGGGAACTGTGCTAAGTATGATCAGTGAAAAAAAAACACAAACATTAGATGGTGTCATTTATATATGGAATAAAGAAAAAGAAAACAAGTGGTCAGATAAAACCAATCTAATGAGCCAACCCTTGAATGCTGACTGTGGATTAGGGGCAACCAGAGGGGAAAAGTGTGGGAGAATGGGAGATTTGAGAACAAAGAGGGGAAGGAACATAAAGTTGTAGGATGGTGAACTATGGGTTCTTTTGTGGTGGATGAACTATGGCAACAGCACTTGAATGGGAGATCCTACACCTGTATAGTGTAAACAGCAATGCAAACCATTAACTCAAAATGTTTTTTTTTTAAATCAACAAATGTATTATTAACTTAAAGTCAAAGGGGAATGAGGAAACAAAATGGAAGGTATATATAGTGAAATGTTTATGCCGATTCACCATAAGCCTGTAAGAATATTAGATAATTAAGTATCTATAAAGAGTAAGAATATAACTAAAGTCATGGGCAGGGAGTTGATGAATGGCAGCTCAAAGGCAGTAAAAACAATAGTAGGTATAAAGGATAGAAAAATTGCTGGAGTGGAGTTATTAAAAGCACTGGAGAGAGTGGTTGAAGGTTGAAATATTTGAAACTGAATTTGGGGGGGCTATATATATTTTAGAATCAGGTACAGATATAAGATGTAAAATGAGATAATTGAAGATTTGAGATATTCAGTTATGAAAATAGTTATCTATGTGGCAAAACCACTAGAAAATAAGACAAGAGTACTGTTGAAGGGAATGACAGTGAATCAGACAAAATCATAGTGTGGGCCCTCCCTGGTGGCGCAGCGGGTTAAAGCACTGCACTGAGAAGCTAAAGCCACTTCCGCATGAGTTCAAATCCCGCCTGGCCCGGAGGAGACCACATGGCGAGGCAGACCTCTCCTGACCCGCCCGCTGCTCCCCTCAGCAGTGTACTTCGTCGATCTGCCTGTTCTGCTCCCCGCTCTGTCTCTGGTGAAGCCTCTCACCGCCCCTGAGCCTCTGGCCTGTACCCCAGTTCTGTATGTACAAATAAATAAATCTTTAAAAAAAAATCATAGTGTGACTTGGGAGTTTGTATATAGTATAACAAAGAACAGTGGTTGGTGATATAGTTTGATGTCATGTGATTTGGAGCTATTTCTGGGGGTTACAGAAGGACAATGGTTTGGAAATACCACAGAGTATCTCCCCGAGTTCAGTGATTGGAGGGGATATGGGAAAGGAAATAGTCCCCACCGGAAGGCTCATAATGTCCCCACTGAGACTTATACTGTCTCAGACTTAGACAGTATATTTGAGAGAAAAGCAAGATTTCATGTATGGCAAGAAAATAGATGTATTATTTTAATAGGAGACAGAGTAGGATATACAGGGTTTTACTGATGACAGTGTGTTTCAGAGAGATAATGCCCAATGGTGACATAATCCTGAGTTCTTTATGAGGTAAGAGGGAATATAAAATATTGGTTGCTATAGACTAGACATATCTTTATAAAAGCAATAGGAAGCTAAATTTTAATTTCTAGATCAAGTCATTCTTTTTCTTCCCAACATATTTAATTTTCTGATTTTAAAGTAGTTTATAACTTATTGAAAAAATCAAATATTACAGTAATATTGTTTCAAATGGAAAATTCTCCAGTTTTTTAGAACTTGAAATTATGAGTCAAAGATTTTCTAAATCTTCATTATTGAGGTTGTATAAGTTTTCATAAACTTAACATTCACATCTCTTCCTTTATAAATTATTTGTTCATATCCTCTATTTTCATGCTACCTAATTTTACTTTTTAAAAAAAAATGCCTTTTTATTCAGGTAACATTGTTTACAACACGAGAATATAGGATCACACCTCTCCAACATGCCCAACAGCAAATCACTAATTAATCTACCATAGAAAAAGACTTCCCCTATACTATAGCCTTGACTCCTCATCCCAATTCTGCCTTCTGGGAGCCTCAATTCTGTGACCAGATTTCAAGGGCTCATTTTGGATTAATTTTAGCTATTCCTTTTTCTCTATATATTCAACACAATACTGAAATCATTTGGTAATTGTATCTTCTTTACTGATTTTTCTATATGAGATCTCCAATTTTATAGGTTAATATCAATTAATCTCATAGGACAATCTCTTATGGTTTGACTTAATGTTCAGGGTTATTAGGAAACTCCAAGTAAATTAAGTGTGACCTATATATATCATCAGTTAAAAAAATTTACTTTCAGCAATATATTTAACAGATTGGCTTTTAAAATAAAGACAAAAGAATAGTAAAGAATAGTTATTAAATTCTACAGAAATACTAGAAATACTGATGTTTAATTTCACATGAAGAAAATGTTATCGTTTATTTAATGATACTTAAAAAAAAAAAAAAACCACCACACCTCATTTTTAATTTTGGAAACAACAATAAGTTTTCCTTTTCAGAGAATAATGGAATAGACTAATTTTCCTTTTACATAAGATTAAGTATATCAAGGTAGTATTAAAAAATCTGACTATGTTGTATATTGCTTTACATTTAAAGTGACTTCACATACATTATTTACCTTCTTAAAATAACATGTGTTTATAACAGACACTCAAAGAGATAAAATGGTCTGGATCATAGAGTTATTATATGAAAGAGCCTCAAAGCACTAAATCTCAAAGCAAAACACCCATGGTATTGAAGGGAACTTCATATATCTGTTTAAATTACAAATTTAATCTATAAATAAAATTACCACGAAAGAAACATTATTTACATAATATATAAACATGTTGCTAAATTGAGCTTGTTAGTCATTAAAAACTCTAAAAATGTAGTTAAAAAAACTCACATCCTTGGAAGAGACATTTCCCCTGCCTATATGTTGCCAGGACTTCAGCATTATAAGCCCGTTCTGGTAGTGCTGAGTGATGACATCACAAAGAGCCTATGAACAACAAGAAATTAAAGGGGAAAGGCAGAGTAATACATTATATACAGAAAAATGTCTCTGAATTCTTCTAAAATTTTAACTGTGTTCATATACAACATTATTATAACTTTAACTGAATCAGTAATCTTTATTGAATGTATCTTGTTTAATAAACATCTATTTATTTTTTATTAATAATATACTAATTTATTTTCACATCATTTTGCGCCTTTTTCCATCTCGGTTGTAATCCCCATGGATTCCCATCACCAAATGACCCGCGTGTCATCACCAAAGTCCAGTGCACTGCCCCCTCACCCATTTTTGGTCCTATTCCCCACTCCACCCCCATAAAATGTCTCTGATATATAGTTGTTCGTTATTACTATTCATCCACCCTCCTTTATGTTCCTGCTATGAATGAAGCCATCTGGTATTTTTCTTTTTCTTTCTGCATAAACATCTACTTATTTTATATCACAGATTTTTAAAAAAAAGATTTATTTATTTATGCATACAGAACTGGGCTACAGGCCAGAGGTGCGAGGGCTGTGAGAGGATTCACCAGAGACCGAGTGGGGAGCAGAACAGACAGATCAACGAAGTACACTGCTGAGGGGAGCAGCGTGCAGGCCCGCAGAGGTCTGCCACGCCATGTGGTCACCTCCAGGGCGAGATGGATCTCTTGCTGAAGTGGCTTTCGCTTCTTGGTGCTGTACTTTAACCCGCTGCGCCACGAGGGAGGGCCTATATCACAGATTTTAACACCAATTTTTACTCTGCATGTATGCATACAGATAAGTGTGTGTGTGAGAGTGTGTAATAGCTATATAACTGTAAAGGGAAATATGCTAATAAAACATTTCTTGATAAGAAACAATTGGCTTTGTATACCCTTTCTTCACTTTCAGGCTTTTTCCTCTAAAATCTGTTTATATATTCACAATGATTTATTTCCCAAAGCAACTTGAATATAAGTTATTCTTAGATACATAGTTTATGTAAATGTAATCATTAAAATAGTACTGATATGTCAGAAAATGGTTACCCTCAACATGAAAAAAACTGTTGTAAATAGTGAGTTGTATCAGAACAAATTATCAAATGCTACTTGTGAGGATTTGCAAGTGTGAACTTTTTTTTTACAACAAAAATAGAAGATATATTAATAAATGATTTTCTTTTTGGTACTTCTTAATTTATAGATATATTAATTCATCTTATATTACTGTAAAAGGGCAAATAAAAGAAACACAAAATCAAGCAAGTTAGGAAATCACTATTTTGTATCTGTGTTACCTAATTTAACAATCATAATCCTTCATGAACTGGACTTTATTCTTCCATTTTACAAATCAGGAAACTCAAGCCTAATGAGAGTAACCAGACTGCCCATGACTCAAGACTGGTCACTGAGAGCATAAAAATACGTAAATTCATGTTTTTTCCTAATTTTTATTATATATATAATATGTGTGTGTGTATGTATGTGTGTGTGTAGACACACACATTTTTTTCTTTTCATCTTGGCTGTAATCCCCATGGACTTCCCACCACTAATTCCCCCATGTGCCATCACACAGTCCTGTGTGCTCTTCCTGCCCCAGTTTTGATCCTGTTCCCCTCTTCTCCCCCATAGAGTGACTCTGGTTTATAGTTGCTTGTTGATTTTCATTTTTACTTTATTACAACTGCTGTTATTTCCTGATCCCTTACACTCCTGCTATGAATGAAACCATCTGATATTTTTCTTTTTCTTTCTGGCTTATTTCACTAAGCATGATCCTTTCCACCTCCATCCATGTTGTTGCAAATAGCATGAGTTTATGTGTTTTGATTGCTGAGTAACATTCCATACTGTATATGTCCCAAATATTCTTGATCCAGTCATCTATTAATGGGCATTTGGGTTGATTCCACATCTTCCCAATTGTAAATAGTGCAGCAATAAAAATAGGGGTGCAAGTGCTCTTTTGAATTAATGTTTTTGTGTCCTTTGTGTAGATACCTAGGAGTGGGATTGCTGGGTCATGTGGAAGTTCCATTTCCAGCAGTTGAGAAACCTCCAAACCTCTTTCCATAGTGGCTGTTTCCATAGTGCATTCCCACCGGCAGTGTAGGAGAGTTCCTTTTCTCTACATCCTTGCCAACATTTTTGTTGCTAGTTTTTTTTTTTTAATATGTGCCATTCTCTCAGGTGTGAACTTTTCATTAATGAAATAGAAACTCACGTGGCAAGAAGGGATATCTTTTTTTTTAGGTTTGAGGGTACATATATATATATTTAGGAAGAGATATCTTTAAGTGACAAATGTCTTTTATGTATTCTAGATAGTAAGAAGTAAACATATTTTATTCTAGATAGTGAGAAGTAAACTTAATAAATCAATTTATTAGTTATTCATAATGCATTGATTTTTCCTTTATTTTAAATGCTTATCTTTCTTATGTACTATGAACCTTATTTTAGAAAATGGGAGGAAATATATTTCAAGACAAGTTACTTTTTACTTAGTAGTGTTAAATGATTAATATGTCTTAGAAACTCTCTATTGAACAAAATCAGTTCACAAACCTGTCAAATAGTATTGCCTTCTAAAAGAAAATAATTTAAAGCCATTCAATATTTAAGTAAAAAGTAAACTGCAATCATATATTCAAAAGCATATAATTTATGATAAAAGAGCATTTAAAGGGTCTCTATCCTCAGAACCAACTATTCCACTGCTTAAGAATGCATGCTAAGTTACTGTTCAACACATAATGCTCTTTATAGTTTTACACAAAATATTATAATTTGTTAACACTCTAAATATCCAAGTTTAGGCAATTAAAAAAAAGTTAAGTTAAAGCTTCATGAGGGCATTAATCATGATTGTTTTGTTTATCATTCTATTCCTAGAACTTGCATGAACAAATAACTATAGGTGAACATACAATTGCTTGATATTTATTATATGTAAATATCAGCTTGATATTTATTATATATATAACAAATACATGTTTTGATATTCCACATATAAGTGACACTCTCTGTTATTTGTCTTTCTCCTTCTGATTGATTTTGCTTAGTATTATACCTTTCAGTTCCATCCTTGTTGCCAAAAATAGTAAGGCTTAACTTTTTTCAGTTTCTCTTTTTCCATTATATCTGTGTATCACATCTTCTTCATTCATTCATTTATTTTTTGGACATTTAGGCTATTATTAACAGTGCTGCAATGAACAAAGGGTCAGATAAAGCCAAATTAAAACCTAATCTTTGAAGTTTGACTATCTAATGGAGGCAACTCGAGAGGGAGGGTTGAGGAAGATTCAGAGCTATGAGAACAAAAGGGGGAAACATTGGTCTATGGTGGTGGATTATGGGTTCTTTGGTAATGGGAACAAAATGGTAACAATGCCAGAAGTGTGGTGTTTCTACGCACCCATAATGGAAAAAAAGATGGAAACCAACCTTAACTCAATAATTTTTTCAAAAAACACAAAATAAATCAAATATATTTACTATAAATAGAAAACATAAAGATGAAAAAAAGTGGTATTATGGATAATGTTATAAAGTTTTACATTCAAAAATTCCTAGAAAATATGTCTTTATTGAGAAGCAAGCAAGTAATAATAAAAATATATGAAAAAACCATTGCAGATACAAATAAATATATTTGTAACATTTACATTCTTATTACTAAAAATAAAATGACCATTACTTTCATTGTATTATTTATATGCAGTTAACAATGGCTCACAACATTGTATATAATTTGGGAGTATAAATTCACACTTCTACAGATTATGTTGCAAAATCACGTCCACCACCCAAACACTAATAATCCTCCATCGTATTCAAGTTGGTCCAGTTCCCTCTTGCGACATTACTCCCACCTGTCAACTTTAGTTTTAAATTCAGGTATCTAGGGATTTGGGGTTTAGTTTTTTCTCTTCTTTTTCTTTGCTTCTCTATATTTTATACATGGGTGAAGTCAACTAGGATTTGTCTTCCTATGGCTTATTTTATTAAACATAATCTCTTCTAGTTCCATTTATGCTATTACAAATATCAAGGATTCATATTTTCCAAAGCTGAATCATATTCCATTATGTACATATACCTTATCTTCTTAATCCCCATATCTGTCATTGGGCACTGAGGTTGTTTCTATAGCTTCAGTATTGTCTATCACATCTTCTTGACTCATTCATTTGTTGCTGGGAACTTAGTTTTTCCCATAATTTGGCCATTGCAAATAGTGCGCAATGAACACAAGAGTACTTATATTCTTTTTTTTTTTTAATATTTATTTATTTGTGCATACAGAACTGGGGTACAGGCCAGAGGCTCAGGGGTGGCGAGAGGCTTCACCAGAGACAGAGTGGGGAGCAGAACAGGCAGATAGAAGAAGTACACTGCTGAAGGGAGCAGCGGGCGGGTCAGGAGAGGTCTGCCACTCCGGGGCAGGCGGGAATCGAACTCATACGAAAGTGGCTTTAGCTTCTCAGTGCTGTGCTTTAACCTGACACGCCACCAGGGAATGCCAGAGTACTTATATTCTTTAGCATTGTTGTTTTCATCTTTCCAGAAAATAGTTAAGAGTAGGATTGCAGGATCTTAGGATAGATCTACCTTGAAAAAATTCCACACTGTTTTCATTAAGGCCTGAACAGGCCTACATTCCCATCAAGAGTGTACAAAATTTTCCTTTTCTACACACCCTCACCAACATTTGTCATTTCTATTGTTTTTGCTATGGGCCATTCTTACAGGTGTGAGGTAGCACCTCATTGTGAGTTTGATTTACATTTCACTGATAAGAATGATGAGCATTTGTTTCTCATGTTCTTGCAGGCCATTTGTGTGACTGGAGGAGTGCCCATTTTTTTTATTGTGTAATTTGTTTTTGTTTTTGTTGAGTTGAATGAGTTTATCAGACATAGTATGGAAATATTTTCTTCAAC